GTCAATTGGACAGATGTTTGGACCGTCAATTGGACAGATGTTTGGACCGTCAATTGGACAGATGTTTGGCCCGTTAATTGGACAGATGTTTGGACCCGTTAATTGGACAGATGTTTGGACCCGTTAATTGGACAGATGTTTGGACCCGTTAATTGGACAGATGTTTGGACCCGTTAATTGGACAGATGTTTGGACCCGTTAATTGGACAGATGTTTGGACCCGTTAATTGGACAGATGTTTGGGCTGTTAATTGGACGTGTCGTTTGTTTCTCTGTTTTTCAGGCTGCATCCTTAATGAAGACAACTTTACCATGAGGTGTCCAGAACACAAGGTAAACAGATGTGGTCCTGGTCCGACCCAGGTCCAGTTCCTGGTTCTACTGTAAATATTTTCAGAACTTCTCCCTGATATTTATCTTTTGAACCCACCAGAACAAAGTCTGGACCACCACGAGCCGACAAGACAAGAGATGACAGCAAAACCCCTGCAGGTTCAAGCTTTTGATTGATTGATTGAATGAATGAATGAATGGTTGGTTGGTTGGTTGGTTGATTTGTTAGTTAATTGGTTGGTTGGGTGGTTTTTTTGGTTGATTGATTGATTGGTTGATTCATTCATTGGTTAATTGGTTGGTTGGTTGGTTGGTTGGTTGATCAGTTGTGTGGCTTCTGATTTGTTTTTCTTTCTTCTTCTGTACATCATGAAGGCTACATTCACTGTGCAGAACGATCAGATCTTCTGTGTTGGACCATGACAGTTTACAGAGGAAATATAGATGTTAACATGTTTCAGTCCGGGTTACATCTGCATACATGGCAACTCCTTCAGACATTTAGCTGTATCTTCACTCTCAAAAACCTCTGTTATGATGTAATGAAAACAGCTGCAGGGACGGGCAGATCTGTATGGAGGACTGAAACTGACAGAATTAGAAATAAAAGCAGAAATATATAAATGAACCAATAAATACACAAATACACTTAAAATGCACCATTTAAATTAAAAAAGGAGAACTTTACCTGATGTTTTATAATTTCATTGACACTCACATTTATTACTTCTTGTTTTTCTTTGTGTTTCTGTGCCTAATTTTTTTAACTTTTCACACAAGTCTTTATTTCCGTGTGTTGCTTTTACATTTCTCTGTTTTTACTTCACCTTATGCATTTCTGCTTCATTATGTAAATAAGGTGGGCAGTCCTTATTGGGTGAGCTCCATTCCTATTGGTCAACAGACAGGAAGGAGCAGAATTTACGTGCACATCTACTGTGCATGATTGTGCCTCAATTTACCTTAAAGTTTAAAGGAGGAAAACACTTATCTGTGCCATTGTTTTAAACTAACCTTTAACTTTTTAAATTAATTTAAATGGTAAATGGACTGTACTTATATAGCGCCTTTCTATCCATCAGGGACACTCAAAGCGCTTTACACTGCAGACATTCACCCACACATTCACACACACATTCACACACTGATGATGGCAAACTACAATTGTAGCCACAGC